TGTCTTTCATCAGCAGTACAAGCAATATCAAACAGGTACTTAAATCAATTCCAAACTCAGACAAGCATGCTCATCATCACCGATGTGATAGCAGAAATGATCTGGTTTTTCAGCTCTTTTAAGCAATAAGGTTTAATTTCGTTTGGTTTACTTGATTATGGGAAAACACTCGAAAGCTATAAACCTAAGGGGAAGGATGCTGAAAGACTTTTTTAGGGAAACTGGCTCATATACTCATTACACTTGGGGAAAACTACAGAAATGCCCATGCAGCCAGGCTTATTCATCAGGATTTGAACCACAGATCGATGTACGAGTTTTCAATGATTTTACTGCTTGGTTGCTGGTTGGCACTTAAGTAACTGCAGAATGGTTGCTCATAACAGTTTTCCCTTAATGTAACTCCACAAGAAAAAGCTATATGGAAACAACTCTCGTGATCCTGAAGGCCAGATTAAAAATGACAAGTTGTTAAATGTTTGATGACCAATCTAAAGATTAGAAAGAATTTTATTAAAAAAAATCGCCCACTTCATGATGCTACAAAGGGTGATGCCATATCTTGTTGAAAAATAGTTTTCAAAGCTTTCATTCAACCTCAGAAACAGCTAGTTTCAAAACCACAACAAGGTACTTTTCACAATTAACTGCATTTTCATTAAACAAATTAGGGCCATACACAGATGAACAAGACACTGCACAAAACATATTACCTTTTGGGCAACACAAGAATGTGTGTTTTTAAGGCCCCAAATCTGAAACAGTATGTTTATTTACTTTGCCAGAATATGTATGGAAATTTGCATGGAAGGTTGCTCCAGTGTTAAGCACAATGCATACCGTGAAATTGTTTTCCTCTTCAACAACAGCCAATACTTGCCTAGGAAATTGCACTCTTTTTCCTTTGTCATGACGCTTTACAGTCTGCAGTAACTGTAACTTGTAGGGCATCATTACCAACCAAATGTCTCAAAACTGTTGTCTGAGGCAGTTTCAAGTCTTGATTGCATGATGAGATAATTTTGAAGGGCTCTGATGGGAAGCAAATGGAGTCTCATGGCATTTTCTTTAGACACATTGGCTTCACTGAGCTCTTTAATTTACATAAACAATCTATGGAAACGAACTGTCTATACCATCTGTCAATGCTCCATTCATTAAGAGAATCCATCTGGTACTTCAGGTGAAAACATCTTTGTATTGTATTCATTGAGTTACATTTAGTAACACAAAACACTTTCTACTGCTGAGTTGCCATTTGGACAGAAGTAGTGGGACTGGGCAGAGAAAAAATGTTACACGAGTGGTCTAGCAGCAACTGATTGATATCAGACAAACATCATCTTCCTACTGTTCAGTGATCAGTAGCTTTAATAGCATACTAATTTGAAATATACATTCTTCATAAATCATGGTGTATATTGAGCTTGGAATGAACTATCAATATTTTGTATCCACTTATTCTTACTACCCTAAACAATTTTGAGTGAATAAGTTTGATAAAACAAAATTTTTTTATGTACTTTTAGACAATTACTTATAACCTTGTGAAAGAACGTAATGCATACTCATATGACTACATCATAATTTTCTTATAATTTGATGCTAGATATCTCAAGAATGAAACTCACATAAAATACACTGCACCTATCACATGTAATGTTTCATATGATGAGTCAATAAATTATATTCAGACAAATGCTTATAAAAATTATTAAAAATGATAGCCTTTATACTGACTGATATAAAATGACATGCAAAATATAAATATGCTAACACATAACTCAAGATATACAGAAAAACACAGGAAAGAAGGAAGGATGACAAAATAAAGAGAAAAACTGCATAAATCAAAATGTTCACTAGTCACCAAATTTCATATAAATAAAGATTATACCTAACAGCCATGACAGTTGTTGATCGCCTTGTCGCTGTCAGTACTTCAACCTATATTTAAAAGAAAGAAAATTTGAAACATTTCTTCTTTGTTAATTTCTCAATTATTAATCGCTAAATGAACATTAATAAATATGACCAAGTTTTTTCTCAGTTTGCTCTAAAATAACAGCATACTGCACACCAGTGGTGTAGCTACAGATAGGAAAAGTCAGACAGAGTCTAAGGACCAGGCTCATTTCTTTTCAATTTTTGAATACTTGAAAATTAATAATAAATTAACAAATTTGTTGCCTAATCCATATTTAATATTTTACGTGGACAGATTTAATTTAAAATTTTATGAATAATTTATGTTATAAATCATAAAAGATTTTTATATTTTATTTTGGGATAATATAAAAATTAGAAATAAAATTGAATGCCACAGATGCTTGTCTTGCTTGTTATTAATTCAGGAGCTAGGCAATGAATTCTTTTGCTAACATATATTGGCCTGTCTCCAGTATGGTAGCATTATTATCAAATGCACAAAGAAAAAGAAAGAAAGAAAGAAAAAGAAAAGGAAAAAAAATAAAAAAGATACAAAAATTATATAACTAAAACATCATAACCAGACAAAGATTCTTCAACAGCTATTGTCTCTACCAGTAAGGTTGAACAGCCTGAATAAAAAAACCATATTATTGGCTGAAGTCACTTGTTAAAAAATGCAAAGCTGATAATAAATGCATAAAAGAAACACTTTAACGAAAGAACGACTTTACAAAAGTCGTTAATCCGGACTCGTCGGGACTTCTTCCGTTATGATCATGAGTTTAAATGGTAGATGGCATGAGAAATTATAAAATTAAAATATGAAACCGAATTTATGAAATAAACCCATTATGTCGAAAGGGTATCAAAATTACAAAAGAGAAAGTTAATATGTATTGTTACGTATGAAACATTCTTCAATGTAGTGTTTAAGTGATTGTTCTTTAGGATAATACATTCTCTTTAATTCTAAACAGACATAATTTCTTCTTCAGTTACAAAGTTCCGATGTCAAGTACTAAATGCGGTATCGAGAAACGACTAATTGTCAATCGAAATTTTTCGTTTTCAATAACCTCTGGTCACTTTCTTCACTATCGGAGCGAATTATAATGACGAGAATTTGATTTAAATCATATCAAAGACAGAGTACATCGAGAAATACTACATTTAGTAAGGAATTATAAGCCAAATAAAATAAAAACATCTGCCCTGAAGATAAGGATAGTGTACAGATCAACTTCCAATTATTGCATAAAACAACTTAAGTTTGATAAACAAAGGATAGCCTTTATCCATTTTTGCAGATTTCCATTTTTGTTTAATGTACTTCATACTTTCGCTTTGTAGATCCTTTACTATTAGTAAATATATATCAGAATTCTACTTGACATAATTGAAGTTCAAGCTTACTTTTATAAATTGCTAACAGCCTGCAAAAAATAATAAGCCGAATCCAATTCGAAGATTAAGGAACAACGCAATCTGCAACATTAACTGAATTAGATATTTTAGCTTAGCTTATACCGTCCGTTATACATTAAACGCGCATTTGTAAACGTATTTTGCGCACACGCATATTCGCAGCCGTAAAGGTCTTACTCGACGCATGCGCAGAAAGTTTGTAGCTTTGAGATCCGAATTATAGATCATTCCGGATTATGGGTGTCCGAATTAACGACTTTTGACTGTATTACAAATTTTATATTTATTTTGTGGGAAGAGTATAAACCAGTGGGAGCTTTCATCAAATATTACAACCGAATCAGAAATATCTTTAAAAAAAAGCTAAACCCAGCAAAAAGGTCAAGTAAGGTTACTGCACTAAATACAGTAAAATTAAAACTGTTCGACTAAAAAAATAAAATTGTTTGACTTCTCCAATAAACAGTAAAATTACACTATGGTGACATTCTGAAAGTTTTAACTCAAATACTATTTTAAAAGAAATAAAAAAGAGAAATGGGAAGAAACACTGCAGATTAAAAAGAAAATAGCAACTTTGAATTTATTGTTATTTGTATATTTATGCATAAGGTGCTAAATAAAAAATTTTTTTTAAATATTACAGAAAATTCGTATATGTCCAGATGAAACTATGCAATGTTTAAATAGCACTTGCCTAAATACAAAGAAATTACAAAATGAATTTGAACGTTAGTGAAACTGAAATTACCAAAAATTCCTACTTTAGAATGTCTAACCAAAAGACAAAATAAGATTTAAAAAAATGTCATTCTGATGAGTTTTTGACATATCATTTCAATTCAGTAAAGAATATATTAAAGTGAATGTATTTTATTACATTTTACACATTATTTTAGTGCAAATGCATTATTAATTTCTTGGCATGGGTGAGAGATCAATTTGGTTTTTTTGAATTTTGTTATAAAACCCATGCTAAGGCAACTGAATTAATAAAAATGATTAAACTATCTTCCTTTTCTAGCCATTGAGCATGAGCAGGCAAGTAAACTGGATCTGTAAAATATAGCAGATTCTATTGCTCAACAAAGCACATAGAAAACTTCTTTGATCATGTATTTCATAAATCCTCAGAACTCATAAAAAAAGTAAAAACAAATACAAAATGATTACCACAAACAAAACAGGCTAATTTTGGTAATCCTGTGCATGTGTATTTGATAAGAATGTTACTATACTGCAGACGGGCCAATATGTGTAAACAAAAGAATTAATTACACAGGTGCTGGAATCAACAGCGAACAAAACAGGCAATTGTGGCATTCAATTTTATTTCTAATTTTAATACAGTACAAAGTCTTTAATCCTGACTCGTCGGGACTTCGCCGATTCCGGATTAGGGGTTTTTCCGGATTATAGATCAATAATTTAAATCTGGTAAGATGGCATGCAGAAATTATACAATTAAAAATATGAAACCATAATTTATGAAATAAAGAGCAATTATGATCTAAAGGATATCAAAATTTACAAAAAAAAAAGCTTAATATTATTTGTTACTTCTTAACATTTATTTCAATGTAAGTTGTTTAAGTTGCTTCATTTTTTGTGCTAATACTTTCTCTTTAATTCTATAAACTGACATAATTTCTTGTTCAAGTCCTGTAATTGCTGTGTCGAGAATACCGACTAACGAAATTTTTTCGTTTTCAATAACCTCTTTGTCACTTTCTTCACTATCGGAAGCGGTACATTGAAACATGCTTTTGCTTTGTAGATCCTTTGGCAGCTCCAGAATCAGAAACTCTTTTTGACATAATCGAAGTTCAAGCTTACTTTTTATAGAATTGCTCAACAGTCTGCAAAAAATAATAAGCAGATCCATTAGAAGATCAAGGACCACAATCTGCAACATTAACTGAACGTAATTAGATAATTTTAGCTTAGCTTATCCGTCCGTTATACATTAAAACGTGCATGCGTAAATGTATTATGTGCATACATAAACGCATACGTAAAGGTATATTCACATGCGTAAATGCATTATGCATGCGCAGAAAGTTGTAGCTTTGAGGTCCGGATTATAGATCATTCCGGATTAAAGACTTTGTACTGTATTATTCGAAAGAAAGATATAAAACTCTTTTATGATTAATTTATTATTTTATAAATGATCAATTTATAAAAAATATATGATTTTATAAAATTTATGATTACTCTTTTATGATTAAAATTAAATTAAATTTATGACTTATAAAATTTATAATAACTCTTCTAAGATTTTTCACAAAATTTTAAATTAAATCTGTACATATAAAATATTAAAGTATTTTAAAATTTGATTTCAAAACTAGCAAGTTTTTTATTCTTTTTAGATAGTTTTTATTAAGATTGTTTCTATGTAATTTTGTTATTAATAAATATGCTTATTATTAAATGAGCCTTGAATTGCTTAAAACTATTAAGTAAATCTCAATTATTTGACTAAAATGAATTTTCCATTCATAATTATCTATGCTCATATGACATTCATGTGTATTTTACGTTTTGCTTACAGGTCCAAAATTTCTAGCTATGTTACTGATGCATACTAACAATTTAAATTTGCTTTGATCATAATAATAATGCAATAATTAGCACCAATATCACAACTTTAAAAGGACATCGATTTTTGAATAAAACTCAAGGGTGATTTCAAGGTGATCAGATACAGGTGCTTCTTCCCAAGTAAAAAATTTATTCAATCCCCCCTGAAATGTCTCATTGCCAGATTTTAAAATTTACTTTCTGCCTAATTTAAAATTTTACATGAAAGTGTTTATCTTAGTTTCATCACAAATTTACCTGACAAACATTTCCATCATGAAACGTATGATTAGCACTACTACGAACTGGGCTTACCTTTTTTTTTTTTTTTTTTTTTTTTTTTTTTTTCATATCAAATTAAATGGTTTAAGCGTATAATAATGATCATTATTCTCTGGTTTACATTTTATAAAGAGAACTGTGTTTGCACACTCTAAAATATTACTTAATTTGTTACTGTTTACTTAATTAATAAATTCCCAATAAAATTATCGTTGTTAGCAATAAATATAGGATCTTTTATTTCAAGTAAAAAAATGATATGACAGTTAATGATAAACACTTTTTCATTTTACAGGAATTTGAAATGAGCACCCAAAAGTAATAATGACTTTAAGCAGTATCATGTTGAATCTCATGAAGATTGGATTAAGTGTTTGATTTTGGCAAAATATATAAGGGCTGACTGCCTTAAAAAAGATAGCTTGGTATAAAAAAAAATAACATAAAAACCTAATATTTACATTATATATGAAATAAACCATAAAAATAATCCTCTTCCTTAGAAATGACCCTTAAATCAAATACCATTCCGACTGCATTACGATCACTATTTGGCCCATAAGCCATATGCATACCTACAAAAATTAATATGTTACAGCTTCTTTTTCATACTTTGTCTAATATGTAATTCAAAAGCAGAATTATAATTAAATTGCACAGACTTTATTATCGGTGCTGCAGTTTCTGTTTGTGGAAATCAGCATCCTGGATAACAAATGAAGAAATTTTTAAGAAAATAAAGATTTCTAACACCATGGGAGTATGATTTAATTTGGAAAATTATAGAAAATAATGGCATCTTCCATCCAAGCAAAGTGATGCACCAGACTAAGAAAATTAAAAATTCACTGATATTTTGACTTTGCTTTATGAAAGTAGAATTAATTATTCCCTTTAATAGTTTTTACATAATTTTCACACACACCACACACACACACACACACACACAAACAAAAAAAAAAAAAAAAAAAATAGATAAAGAGAGAGAGCACAACAATCTAGAAAAATAAATTATTTTCACGCATTGCATAAAAAAAAAAATATGATCTAGGCTTTAAAATGTTTAAAATGATCTTTAAAATGTTTTTCCTTAGCACGATAACTGAATTAACAATATTACTATACAAAAGCTAACACATACTATATTTATTTACTCATTTTTTTAAATCAGCAAAGAATTACAACTTTAACATTTAACACAAAAAATTTCCTTCTTTTAATCAAATACATTGCAATATTTCAAATTCTTGCAACACACATATTGTATTCCCCATTTTTACAGCAATTAATTATTAAGTAAAATCAGAATGAAATTAAAAAAATTCACTGATATTTTGACTTTGCTTTATGAAAGTAGAATTAATTATTCCCTTTAATAGTTTTTACATAATTTTCACACACACACACACAAAAAAAAAAAAAAAAAAAAAAAAGATAGAGAAAGAGAGAGAGCACATACATCTAGAAAAATAAATTATTTTCACGCATGCATAAAACAAAATATGATCTAGGCTTTAAAATGTTTAAAATGATCTTTAAAATGTTTTTCCTTAGCACGATAACTGAATTAACAATATACTATACAAAAGCTAACAACATACTATATTTATTTACTCATTTTTTTAAATCAGCAAAGAATTACTAACTTTAACATTTTTAACACAAAAAATTTCCTTCTTTTAATCAAATACATTGCAATATTTCAAATTCTTGCAACACACATATTATATTCCCCATTTTTACAGCAATTAATTATTAAGTAAAATCAGAATAAATTTCAGAAACAAAACTTTTATAATATACCTGCATGCATACAGTGTTTAGAAGTTTAAGAAAATAAAAATGTCATACAATGCCAACAAGGTCTCCTCTTCCATATTCTCCCACCAGTTCCTTCTTCCCATCAGATCGATTAAGGACAGATCTTAGTCGCCCACTCAGCAGAATATATGTACAATCAGAAATGTCATCTTGCCTATAAATCCGAAAATAGAAAATAACGAGATAAATATAATCATATATTACGTTGTTACCAAAAAATATATTGTAAAAAAAAACTAGAAATATCTGACTTCGTATATGTACCCATATTAAGTTATCTGAGTTCTTAAAAAGCTAATAAACTTTGTATAAATTTTAAAAAGTTAATAAACTATGTATAAATTATTATATCTTTAGAAGTAAACATGTTTTGAATGTCAAAATTTGGAAGCCTTACAATGACTCTAAATTAATAATAAAAGTATACTGAAAACTGCTTAAGGGGAAAAAAAACTGAATTTAGTCAGTTTCAATTTCATTTAGAAATGAGAAGTCCTTCCCTCAACACTTTCTTACAAGCTTGGCTCTCCCTCTCTCTCTCCCCCCTTTTTTAGTGTGTGTAATCACAGTACATTTTTACCCTGCAAAAAGATCTTAAAAGTTATTATAGATGTTCATTTAACGGAGATAATCTAATTCAGATAAATTAACAGTTGAGATACGTACTGAAAAATGTAATGAAAAATGAGGAGTCTGCATGATTTAACCAGATGGGTCAGTAGCTTTGCTATGCCAATAATTTATTACAAATATCATTTTATTTCCAAATTACTTTTTTAGAATTTACTTCAGGCAGGGTTTGAATATCATGTTGTTAAAAACATTACAACGGATAACTATATCTCTTACACATTTCAAAATTAAATTATTTTATACTAAAAATACACTTTTAATATTTATGATTAAATAGATAGTATAACTTGAAGTTTTTGAACTATTTACTAGAAACTTAAGTAAAAACATGATAAAATTTAAGTATCACAACCTGTATATTGCTCGTCCAGATTCCACATTTATCCAGTCTAAAGCGAAATCAATTTGTCTAACAAATGGGGAAAGGCGTTTAATGACACTCTGAGCTAGGTGTAACACAGCAAGAGGTTTTTGACGCAAAATCCTGCAAAACGCAAGAAAGTTTAATGATAATTTCATATTTAAATAACAGTTAAATTATTCATATTGTGGTTATGGATAGCATAAAAATTAAAACTATATATCCATCATTAAAGAATGAGGAAAAAATTCATAAAAGTTGTATTAGAAGTTTTTAAGAACAATAAAAAATTATGATACTAATTGAATTATTGTTTATACCAAATAATATCATTTCATTAAATCTTTTTACCTTTTGTGTAAATTTTAATTTAAGCTTAATGGCACATTTTAAATTTATTTAAAAATATTTTAACCACAATTAAACTTAGCATATTTTTTGTTAAAAACTTTTCAATTATAATCAATACAAATATGCACATCTCTTTAAAGTTCATATATTTTTCAGTAATATTTTTTTTTAAATAGTATTTTATTAAAGAAACCTAGATCTAAGCCAAGACTCTTATAACTAACTCCTGATAATCTCACAAGGAAAATAGAAATGCAATAAATTTTCAAAAATACATAAAATTAAATTAAACCTTCCAAGATTTTAGATTCAAAATCCTTAAAAGAATAGACAAAGGGCTCAACACTGGGAAAATGCTAGTAAACAAGGAAAAAAAGAAGTTAAAGGAATTCCCGGAAAAGTCTATTGATTGGGTAATCTCTTCCTCAAGGATGTAGAACTATAAAACAAAAATCCTAGAAGATCGCTTTTCAGAAGTATAAAGTATAATTAAATGTGAAGTATCTCTGACACTTACAGTTTCAATGAACATATTAATCTAAAATACTTACTCATAAGTATTCTTCTTACTAAGAATCCCAACTTGACTAAAATGTCTAGTGCGAACAGTAAAAAGTGAAGGTTCTCCACTAAGAACTGCCAAAGCACCCATTATTTCTCCAGAATGGACCACAAAAAGGTAGCTCTGAAGATTTATTTAAAAAATATATAAATTTCAAAACACTGTTATTTGATACACTTGAAAAAAAAATTAATGTACATTTAAAAAAAAAAAAAAAAATTACTTCTTCTTTCTTATCTACTGTCTTCTGAGAAACGTTCAATGCTCCTGCAATGACGTATAAAAGTGCAACATCTTCAACCGTTTCTTCTCTAATTATGTATGTATTGGCTGGTAGTTCCTTCACAGTTACATAATCTCGAACAAATGTTTCATCCTAAAATAAAGTACATAATGTCAAAAACATGTCCAAATATGATATCAAAGGTAATCTTCTTAACTACCTCCAAATTATTTTTGATGCCAAAAATGTTTCTGATTTAAATAATACTGTTTTTGTCCTTTAAATCAGCTTTCTACAATAACTGCATATTTTTAGAGCATTTAATAAATATAAGATTAATTTTATGATGATAGTATCACAAAAATTTTATCCAAAGCATTAATGTACTGATTCATTCTTTAAGTTCTGATTAAATTAAATGAACATATTGTACTTAAGCTAAAAACAAAATTAAATTTTCCCTCAAATCTGAACTAAATTTACACTACTCAACAACAGATTAATTTCATTATCAAATATTACTTTCCTTAAACATATTTGACATTTACAACGTATTTTCTATTGTACTTATTTCACATATAGAGTCACATGTTAAGTCAAAGAATACTTCCAAACACCTGAACTAGATTTTATTCATTAAATATATATTTTGCAAATATTCTGATTTAAAAATTGTTCCATTCAACCTTACTTGCAAGTTACTTAAATGAGTTGTCAACTTCAACTTCCTCATAGATACTGTTTGTGTAGATTTTTTTCTTCATTTTAGTTATACAAACAAACAAACAAAAAAACAAACAAAAAAAAAAAAAAAAAAAACAGCAAAGCTTTCCCCTCCCCAACAATAATTAAATTTTATTATTTAATTAATACAAACCAATTTGACTATTACATATTTAATACTCATAAATGTTTTCAATAATTAATATCATTATATACTTCAAATGTGAATATCTAAATACTATCTGAAAAAACAGTTATTAAAGTAATGATACTCATTATTAAATTTTTATCTGAAGTCTCACTCTTATCAATTTCTGATGAAATTTCTATACTAATTAGAGTTCTTGAACATAACAATTCAACCAGAGTCTTAACTCTGCAGGCAGTCATAACACTTTAGCTGCATAATAGACAGTTTTCCAGTACTAATGCATTTAAAAAAAATCTTAATAAAGAAAATACTTTTTGAAACATATAGAAAATATATAAATCTTTAAACTTTTACACTGCTTAAGAAATAAAATTCTTTATAAGAAAACTCAATTTTAAGCAGTCAGAAAATGACTCCTCTATGCTGAAGTGAGTGATATATGGCTTTAGAAGTATCTTTATAATAATGGCGCAAATGTTTATAAAAATTATACTATATCACAAGAATTAGTTGTCTTATAAATTAAGCCAATTAGAGATATTACTAAAATTTAGTAGAAGACATTGATTATTAAGAAGCATGTAATTTTACTCTTAACTCGCTCAGTTAGCAATGTACTGTTATTATCTGAAAAATGTACTAAAGATCTGGTTGAATATCAAATGGTTACACCATTAAGAAGAGGTAACTGGCCAGATCATGATGTTTATAAATGCTCTGGTAGCATAAAGTAATGCAACAAACTATCAATGACCTCCCCCCCCCACACACAAACACACAAAAAACTTAAGCCATACAAGTTTTAAGGTTAAAACTAGTAAATATATAACTCCTTTTTAAATTAATAATACTTCAAGTCTTCAAATAATTAACGGGCATTGTTCTAAATTGATCAATGTTTTTATTTAAATATTAAAATAAACAGGAGTGTGAGTTATGTGAAGGGATATTACATCTAACCCTAACTGCTGCACAAAGCCTTTCACAGCAAGCATATGAAGATCCTCTTCATTTTGTACAGGTCCTTGTTCAGGAGGAAAATAAAAACTTGCTTTCCGTTTACGAGTTTTTTTACTCTCTTGAATGTCTGCCTCATAATTTGAAACCTGAAAAAAAAAAAAAAAAAAAAAATGATGAATTTGATCACACAAAAACAGATGGCTTATTTTATTTTTATTTAAATGGGAATTTATTAAAAGCAGACCATTTCTCAGCAGTATTCTAATATATAACAGAACAATTATCACAACTATTTAACAATCAATTTATAAGTAACAGAAAATTATCTGAAACAACTATAATAGACATATGCAATAAGATCAAATTTCTTACACTGCATAGAGTTATGCAATGTAAAATCTACAGATAAGCAATCAGATTAAGAAGAAATAGATTTTCAATGATACTTGCTTTACATTAGCATACATCATGGCTAATCTAAATTAATTCATCTAAGCAACAAAATATGTATCAGAAATTGAAATTTAAAACTGTATTCAATTTAAACTGTATGAAAAAAAGGACTCACAAATTGTTTAGCATTATTTGTTGCATTTATATGATACACAGCTGATGTATCATTACAGCATTCTTCTGCTGAGACTGCATTATGTTCTTTGGGATACAATGCAGCATCAACTTCTGTAAGTAAAAGAATGGTTGCACTCAATATCAGTTCCAATAGGTTATTTAATTAATACATTAATATCTATTATGTAACCTCATAACACGAAAAGAAAATGAAAAACTCATAAAAGCAGAGATCTTGATTTCTCAAGACATATCAAGCTAATACTTTTATCAAGTGTTTGGGTATATCTTATATATAGCATGTTTAAAAAAAAATGCGACTTAGGTTTTGCTTTATTAAATACTAGCCACTTGTATAGCCAGCTACCTACCTAAAATAGTCATCAAAAAAAAAAAAAAAATACAATGATTTTAATGGGTCCAACTAATGTAATTTCATAAAAATATTTAATATTTCTAATTAAACATCTTGTGATTTAAATTCATTTTTATTTATTTCTCTTTCAGTCTTATTAATTCTTTGGGCTTTCTTTTTACTTTGACAAAACATTAAATGAAATTTAGTGTTCTAAATTGAATAATGCAAAAAAAAAAAAAAAAAAAAAAAAAAAGACCACAGCAGTTCTCCGAACTGCATCAATAGAAACAGCATTAGCAAAAATTTTTTGTTGTATAATTACTACCATCTGCCTCCATTTTCCAACTTCAGTTACTTTTCAACAGCATACTGAAAGTTCTAATCCACATAAATTCAGTAGAAGAAAATGCATGTCAATGTATTCTCCTGGACAATATTTGGAAACTAGAAGAATTAATAATGATAAAAACTGGAATAATTTAAATAATGCTGTCATTCTTGTGAATTCTTTCTCATCAAATAAAGTTTACACTACTGAAGGACCTCCTACAGTCTTTCCATGGCATTCCAAATTAGTGGGTGAAGAAATTTTCACACCACTTTATAATCATATTGTTGGGGAAAAAATAACCAAAAAAATGAAGCATAAACTGAATTTGATAAAACAAGTAGCATATTTTGAAATTTGTGAAGCGAAAGCATTGATGAAAATCACTCGAATATCCCATTAAGTGATAATGATCAGAATGCCAGATTTGTTCTGCTAAATTATGAGACAAACCCTTTGGAGAATCCACTTTAACTGAAATTTGGCAGCTCTTCAGAAGAGTGTTGCTGCAACTTCTTCTGTGGGGAAAGACACTGTAACTGCATGACAAGTAAAACATGGTGGCACTAAATATGCTGATATCTGATAAATATGCCACAAGTAACACCTGGCAATGTTGGTACAGCTTGTTTCATAAGAGTGAATCGAAAATGAAGACATTTTTATGAATTTAAAATTGGACAAAAAAACCAAGTTTGGCTTGGAACAAATTTTGAATAAAACTCTATTGGCTTTGAAGGCAATCAGATTTCAGGAGTAAATAATTTTTTCTAAAAATTTTTACCGAAACTAAAAAACTTTTGCTCTTGAAAAAGAGAGATCTGTGTTCTCAAAACTGATGGAATTTTTTTTTTTTTCAAAACTTATGCGAAACCAAAGTTGACTTTTTTGACTTTAAAATTTTATATTATGTATTTCTCTTCCAATTTAATTTCACTGAACATTAATGAAATGAAGCTCCAAAATTTTACCGAAACTTTGCTCTAAAAGTGAAACTATAATATGTTTTTATTTATTCAATGCCTTCATGACATTATATTTCATGTTTATGCTTTCATGACAATACATCATCCTATCGATTATCAAGAAATTTATGGAAAATTTATTTAGTTAGAACAAAGTATCCTTTAAAGAAATTATTTGTATTAAATAATTTTTTATGTTATGCACTTAAATATATTATTTATGATTAGATTTTCTTCATAAAAAAGTTAAATAAAAATTAGCAACTCTAATAAAAACAGTACTACATATGGCAGCATTTGAACTGAGGATCCCTTGCCAATAGCATCTATTCTCTACCACAATGCCATGACCAAATTCAACAACTGAAGGAAATTAATACACACGCTTTGCAACTTAGTTTCGATCTTGTTTTCATTTAAAATATGTAATTATATTTCATATTCAGATTTTAGATTTTTTGTACCTATACAATTTCAGCAAAATCATCCAATTCAAGACCATGTGCTCCTCCAATTGTTATAAACCAGGATAATAATAAAGAATAATCTTAAATGGATAAGCAATAATCTAAATTTGTACATTATGCTTAGTATATGATTTTAATTCAGTTAGTACATGGCTCAATATGCAGATTCAAATTACAAATTAAAAAGTCCTCACAAATACAAATATACTAAAATATGGTAAAAGCATATTATCTTAGTTATGCAAAGCTATTTTATTGACTAAAGTTTAGGATTTTCATCTTTATGGACAATGCTTAATAACTAAAATTTACAGAAGCACAACAAATTTTCATCAGTTGTAATAGTTAAATATTTTCACAAAATATTATTTTACTTGATTTAAATCAATAAAACAAATGTAAAGTATCAAGGAAGAAATTAATAAATTTACAAAAGCAGAAAATAAATTACAGTTAGTATACATCTGTTTCAAAATGAGAGAAGTGTCAGCAGCATTTTCTTACCTGTTTGGGTTGCTTCATGTTGTTTCATCTCATTTGGCTTTATGTGTGAAAGTTGGCTAGCGCGTCTTGAAACTGATCTTGATGGACTAGTTTTGGGAGAGCCTACTGTATTCCTCCTTGTTGAAGTTGAAGACTAGTTTGAGAATGAAAATAAAATTGACATACATTATGTACACAAAATTCTTAATCCAAGTAAATGAATTAACACATTTGAACACTTTTACCCATATTATTTTTAATAGACAAATAGAAAATTTATGGCATGCATTGAAACAAGATTTTTAGAAATAATTACGCTTCATAATTCTAATACCTTAATTATGTTTAGTTTATAAATGAAGTTATTAAAAAAATTAAGGATAATGATAATGTTTAATGGTTAAACCTGAGAATAACAGGAGTAAAAAGAGAATCATAGAGATATTACAACTAATTCAAATATTAAACATTTAATTCCCTTATTCCCTTTTTTATGAAGTAATTAATTACTAGTCCTGTATGAAAATGCTTCAAAACTGTAGTTGTATTTCTTAAGTTACATACAGAAATATATGTAACCTCCCTTAAATACCCCACAAAAGCACATCAGGAATTATTCCAATGAAACATTTTTAAATTTATACTCCATGCTGATAAGAAATATCAATTCAAATTCACGGAAATTTTTAATAAATTATTTGATCACATTGATTTATTATTTTAATATTCACCTTGTACATCTGAATATTTAATAGAATAATAAATCAGTCTGATATATTTGAAATGGTATACAGTTACCAATAAGCTATTTGAAATTTTACAATTAACTCATAAATTTTCATAAATCTCTAACTCAGTGCCAAGTACTGCATATTAGCAGCTACGCGGCCAGCTTTCGTCTAGCTTTTAAGGTACCAGAAAAATGCCTAAAGGGAACACCAAGCGTTAAAATTTAAAAACTGCGCAGAATTCAGAGGTTTTAGTCCTCTTGAAAGCTAAAGACGTATTGTAGTTTTCTGCAGTTTGCATACTACATACATAATAATTTAAAAGGCCAGTCTTAGTGTTAGTCATTTGTGTAAAGTATTCAAAGTAAACTCTTATTTTAAATTTAGTTAGTTAGTAGTTTTTATATTTTTACATTCAGACCACAAGTGGTTGGTTTTTGTATCCCGAAGTGCGGGAGCGCCTGTACTATCGTGGAAAATGAAGGGTAATTAAACCCTCATCTTGTTGTCTCTTCGACACTCCATAGGACATACATAGTTTGTAGTCAAACTCATTGTCAAATCAGGACACGTCATGTTCGCCAAGCAGATAAGGAGAAATACAAGTACTGATACCCTTAATACAAATACTAATTATCCTAAGAAATAAATTAAGCAACTTTGTGTTGCAAAATATTTAGAATACAGTCTAGTGAATACAGTGGGAGGGGGATAAGTAATAAATCTCATATTATCAAGAGAAAACTGGCAGCAGTCAATGAATGAAAAAATGTCGCCAAAACCACATTTCTAAAAGAATGAAACTATTCAAAATGATGGAATAAAATTTAAAAAATCTGATTCGAATTTTGAAAAACTTGCTTTGAGGTGCACCGGCTGTTGTCTAGATGCACTTATATACCAAATTTCGTAGCCCTGGGTCTATTAGCTTATGCACAGCACGAACAAAAGACACACAGACTCTTTCTTTCATTATATGTAAAGATAACTGAATAAACATAACGAGAGTGCAAATAAGTCTCTGCAGTTGTTTATCAAAAATTGGGAATTTATTATGAAAGAATGGTGCATTGTTTTATTCAAAGTAGTCTATTGCTAGCTACTACTTTTTCCCATCTTTCTGGCAGCATATGGATACTGCATCAGAAGAACTTGGAGCAATGCCATAGCCATGGTTCTCAGCATCTGGGGACAACTGAAGATTTTGCACTCCCTTCTATGTGCCAAGAATAGAAAATATTTCACTATAAAATTTCATATCAATTTGGCAGCACCTGGGGACATATGTCCTCCCTTGGCCCAACTGTGGTGGGGCTATCATTAGAGGCTATCCACAAATCAACCCAATTTTCGGTATCTTCATGTGATATGAAGTGTTGCTCAGACCGAAAATGTGTTGTCAATCGAAACAAGTAGTAATCAGAAGGAACAATGTCTAGTGAATACAGTGGGAGGGGGAAAACTTCTCATCTGATAACTTCCGAGTAAGTTCTGGCCAGTGTCGCAACATGTGGACCAAGGACCAAGGCATTTGGTTATGGAGTACCTTTGCAAAAATAATTGCTATTACCTCCACATCTTCGTTAATGAAAATTGAAATAATTGAGCGAAGAGCATTCGCTAAAGGTAAAGGGAAGCGCAGTTAAGCTAAATTCGAAAAGCTGCTAAGGAATGCTTATTGTTAAGGAAGGATGCAGGCCAAGAGTACAAGCGTTGAACATAAAGGAAGGGCATTTAGCCCCCCCCCATCCTAAATCAACTGCAGGTAACTCAGGTACAAAAGGAGAGAGCAATCGGAATGCGAACAGCATGAATGGTTGCTATGGAGACAGATCAGCTGTTGGAGTGGGGCGTGATTATTGAAGAACCGGTCCCCAGGGTAAGGTAAGAGCAGGTTTTGTAACCAAGCAAGTAGCTAAGAGCCTTCGAGTGGTCGTGGGGGATTTATTGACTGAAAAAGGGAGAAAGAGGTGAAAATCTGCATCAAGGAGTCGCAAGTCTTATTTCAACTGCAAGAGTGGGTTTTAATCTTTGAAGAGACGTTAATTCTTTCTAAGGAAAAGAATTCCTTTTCATGTGTATTAGAGTTCAACTGAAGTTAAAGATTACTTTAAGATTATAGTGAACTTGTATTAATAATCAGTAGGAGGCGATGACTGAATAATGGATTTAGTTAAATAATTAATTTAAAGTTAAGTGGAAGTCTGGCTTAGAAGGTCTTGGCAAAGGCGGGTAGAATTCCCTCAGTGCAGCACTAGCATGGTATTCACGATAAACATTGTCAGATTAGGTCTGGGAGGTGTAAAAACAGTTAAGGGTAGCCGGGTTAGGCCCATGAGGTACTTCTAAATTAACCAGATTAGTTTCCCTGGTCAAGCAAGCAAACCCTTTTAGGCTTCCTAGGGAAGATGTTGAAAGATCTGTTCATGACAGCCCTAGGTCGCTTGGCTGAGCTGGGTTCTGTCAGATTGTAAGCGGGAATGTAGTGCAGGATCAGGTTACTAATCTGTTCAATACGATTAAAGAATTTTGCCGAAACATGTTTGAAAAAAGCATCCAGGGGAGGAATTTTGAGATCAGAGTGAAATACTTCATTATGAATGCGAGCATTTGTTAGGATGCGAAGCATGACGTTTTGAAAGACTTGAACCTTCTTCAGATGCGAATTTGCTGTGGTTGACCAGTTGGGAGCTGCATAAGTTATAATTGACATGATGGTGCTGGAGTATAGCAGGACTTTATTACGAATAGAGAGATGACTTCTTCTTGAGATTAATTGCATGAGTTCTGGTAGTTTTGGTTTTGGCTATTGCATAAAAGATGTGGATGCCCCAGATGAGCTTTGCATCCAAATAAACTCCTAGATATTTATAATAATCTACCCAAGGTACATTTTCATCATAGAGCTTGAGTGGTTGGAGATGGATATGGACATTTCTCTTTCTGGAGAAGAAGACTGTGGCAGCAATTTTGGAAACATTAATTTTGATTTTCCTGTCAACGGGCCAGGACTCTAAATCTGACAGGTATTGCTGGAGATGATGAAGTGTTGAGTGTTGGGAAATAATGGCAGTGTCGTCCGCATAAGATGCGAGATCGACAGTGGGTGATTGCGGGATGTCGTTTATATACAGGTTAAATATGCACTGATTATCCCACCTCAAGGGACTCCGGCCTGGATAGGGCGGGGGGGAAGAGAGAGAATTTTTAACTTTAACACAAAATGATCGATTAGTGAGATAAGATGCATTAGTCGCACGAAATTGGTCGAAATGCCAAGTCGCATGAGCTTGTAAATTATGCCAATATGCCAAAACCTGTCGAATGCTTTAGCTACGTCTAAATAGGCGATTGCTGTAGGCATTCCATTGCGAGCGCCTGCATGAATGTTTTCCACTACTCTCAGTAGCTGGGCCTGAGTGGAGTGTTTAGCACGAAAACCGAAATAATGATGCTTCGGTTTTGGCTATAGTTTCGTAAAGCTTACTAAGTGAAGACAGGAGGATGATCGGCCTGTAATTTTGAGGGATTTTAGGGTCCGAAGCAGGTTTCAGAATAGGAATGACACAAGCATTCTTCCAGCTATTAGGATAATATTTTAGCCTTAGCATAGTGTTAAACAAAAATGCTAGGTAAAATATGAACTTTACAGGAAGGTTTTTAATCATGCGATTATTTATGTTATCCAGACCTGGTACCTTTTTGGGGGTTAAATCACATATTATATATGCAATTTCAGTCATTGTAGTTTTTATGGGTTCTCCTGAGTCGGGTGCTGAGGAGAGGAAGTTGTTAAATTGTATTTGGACTTCTCGCCCAAGAGGGGTGCAGGTATTGAACAGAGGTCCAGTATTTGGTGAAAATTGTTCCTGTAGGCTCTCAGCAAGGCGTTTAGCCTTGTCAGTGTCAGTTATTGCCATTCGGTCATTGACCATGTCCATTGGGGGGGGGAATGTCTGCTTTTAGTTTGCGTAGCCGAGCGCTAGCTTCCCATAGGCTATTATTAATGGTCTTTAAGGACTTAAGGTAGTTATTGTATTTATCATCAGAATACCTTTTGATATCAGATTTAATCTCGTTCTGGAGTCTTCGCAGTTGGGTTCTGGTAGTTTCATGGCGGGATCTTTGCCAATCTCTATGAAGATGGTTTTTGATTTTGATTTTCTCTTTAATGTTAGCTGGGAGTTTTGAATAGTTGAGTCAAAATTTAGGGAATGAGGCTGCATCAAATGCACTTTTAATTGTGCTGGTAAGTTGCTCAATAGAGTTATCAACTTCCTGATTACTGCTAATTTTAAGGGAGGGGTGGATTTTTAGAATTCAAAATATGCCAAAATTTGTCCAGTTAGTACAGACTTACATCGGTAAATTTTGATTAATTTTGGTACAATCTAGGGTGAGATGAACCAGATAGTGGTCGCTTGACAATTCCGGAATCACTTCAATCGAATGAGCTAACGGTATGTTCTTGAATAATGCCAAATCAATAATGGATGGAGCACCTATGCCACCAGGGAACTGATAATGCATAGGTACTCCTGGTGCAATAATTTGGATGTGGGCACCCTGAGTCCAATTTTTAAGCTTATTGCCATAGTTGTTGGCAGTGTCGCAATCCCAACTTCTGTGACGGGCATTAAAATCTCCTGCAATAATCAGATTATTTAAGACTCTGCTGATATTTTTTAGATCAGAGGTAAAACTAGGTCCCTGTCTCGGAGGCATATAGCAGGACGATACTGCTATAGGGGGTAAATTTTGAACATAAATTTGGACAATAGTTACCTCGAGAGCCTCCATTCGTGGAGATGGAATTCTGCAATGTTTCACAGTGCATTTTACATAAATTGCAGTAATGCCACTAGTGCAAATAGCATTACTGTTGCTAGCCGCTCTATCATTGCGGTAGCAGGAATTATTAGTAATATTGGCGCTATGTCCCTCGACCAGATGTGTTTCCCGAACGAGGAAGAGGTCCAAAGCATGCTCCCTGATGTAATCCCTTAATTCGTGGATTTTGGGAAGAATGCCTTTCGCATTCCAGAAGCCGATGAGTAAATCTTCTCTATTCGCAGAGTCGAATGTAAGGCTTTAGGAGGTGAGGGTGCAGTAGGCCTCGAAGATATGAAAAGCTCTTTCTGGCCTCGAGGAAACTGTGCAGAGCTAAGGTAAGGAATGCAGCAAGGAGAAGGTTTTGGTCTATTCCGAATTCCCTGGAGACCTGAAAAACACTTCTGAGCCTGTCTGTGCAGGAATTGTCATCTGGGATGGCAGGCTAGGCTGGAACCTGGGCTGTTAGCTTCTTCAGCGCAGGAACAGGAGCTGGAGGAGTAGCAGTGGTGGTGGTGGTGGTGGTGGTGGTGGTAAGAAGTTGGTTTTGAACAGGCGTTCTTCTAATTAATTAATTACGGATTAATACGTTCATTAGCTACTTTTGTAGAAAACAGGGGGGCTGTGCTGCAGAATGGAGCGGGTACAAAATTTTGTTTCCCGGCACCTTGGGAATTCGAGATTGGGTTAGATTGTCTCCTCTGATTCTTGTTCTTATTTGTAGAATTGCATGGACAATGATTCCAGTTGCTTGCATGGCTTCCGGAACAGTTGGTGCAGGTATTCGGTTCATTGAATGGTTTCTGGCAGTCACGAGCGAAGTGAGGTCCGGCACACCATAGACATCTTATGGGGAGAGTGCAGACAGCGCTAGAGTGAAAAAATCCTTGCAACATTTGGATGAGCATGCAGATTCATTTTGTCATGTCTATAGTAGTAGAGGGTGCATTTTTCTTTGAGTGCTCGCTAATATTTCAAGGTTATGTTGTTAGCAGATGTCCAACTATACAATATGACATTTTACATCACATAATTTTAACCATAAATTGCAGGTGGTGAATTTTTTGTCAAACAGTTGAGATTTACTTGCACTCCCAGTAATATAGTAAAGGATGCATACAATTTGAAATTTCTCTATACATTCTTTCGAGTCTCAAATTATGTAAATAAATGCTATGTATTGTATATATTATAATGAAATTAAAAAAAATATATTAAACAGTGAAAAATAAAATAAATTTTGAAATTATTTCAGAACTTTTTGAACAGATAGATGACTAACAATATTCAGATTATCATATTTTTTTAATATCAAGTTTTGAATATTTAAGCTGTTTTTATTCTTGAAAGTTGTTATAGAAACTTTCTGATTATCTTTCCCCTCATTTCAACATTCAATAGAATTTCTGTTTCTTGGCACATTTTTTAAGTGTGCATGCAAAAATAACCAACCAAAACATGCACACACTATGTGTTTTTCAGTAAATGTGCGTCCATATGCTTCATACTTAAAACTGTCATTTTGCTGATTCATGTTTTCACCCTACCAAATATATCTCCTCTCATGAAGTCTCTTATTTATAATATAATAAAATTCTTCTTATTATTATTAATTAAGTAGAGAACAACACTTATGAGGCAGAAAAATAACTAAACAAACATTGTTCAACAATTCACAAAGCTGCCAATAAATGGGTAAAGCCCCACCAGCGGCCGAACGGTAAAGACGCTGAACACTGGTAGTTTGGTTCAAGGTTCAAATCCCGTGAACGGGCTGGCTGCATGGATGTTTTCGTGGTTTTCTTCATGTGTAACGTGCATACGAGCCAGTTTCCCTTAGAAAGTCCTCCACAAAGGCATCCCTCCCTTTAGGCAGATAGCTCTCGTGTGCTTTGCCATAATTGAATAATCCCAATACCAAATTGGTAAGTGTTAGTGGGCATGTGGATAATCAGAAAGTATCTAACTCAGTTCTTAATAAGAACAAAAACAAAAACAAAACAAAAAAAAAAACAAAAAAAAAAAAAAAACCACATAAAAAAATTTCAATTACAATAGGACGAAAAATATTATGTTATTAAGAAATATAAGAATATTAAGAAATATAAAAAAATAAATGATTTTTAAAGAATTATAATTACAAAAAGCTCACTTACTGACTTAATCAGCTGATTAGTTAATCCAAGGTAATTATGAAGAGCAGTAAATGTTACTCTCTGCAATCTAACCATAATTATTTGTGCAACGCGGACTAAAGATTCAGGATTTTTTTCTAATAATGAACGAAATGCTTCAACTTTTAGTCTAAATGGGGAACAAATAATAATAATGTCAAAATAAATCCTTTTTTACTAAAAGAAACAAAATTGTTAAAATAATTAGAACTTCAGTATCCATAAAATGATTCAAACTGCTACCTTCATATAAGATGAAAGTTTCTGAATATTTTAAGTATAAAAATGTATGAAGGAAAAGGATATTGCAGTATGTGTAACAGCATATAAACATTTTGGTTTTATTTCAAAGAAGGAAATTTATTTATGTAAATTTATTACAAAAAATTACAATTTTTAGAAAAATATTATGTTTGTACGAAAAAATATAACTTCCATAAGATACAGTGAAATTAAATTAATTAAATTATCTTTAAATTTTTATATCTGGAAGAATTAAATGGCACAGATAATAAAAAAATGTTAATTTAAAAAATAACGATGTTACATATGCATAACAATATAAAACTTATACTGATGGCAGATGGATTAAAATGAATTCAATTATATTCTGGCTGAGAAAACAAGCTATTTATTAATTATGATCCCATGTCAGAATACTTTTTTCATACTTATGGATGCATAACATCATTATTTTAAGAAATTATCATAAACTTTTACATACATATTACAAAATAAAGGGAATTACTCTGATAAAGCAAGATAATGCTAAAACTATGCACATATTGCTATTATACCTTAATACAATACAATCTTCTAGAGCTCGAGCTGAAACTGTCTTGTATGGTGATATACGACCCTACGGAAAAAACATTAATAGTAGAGATATTTAGCTTATTATAATAAATGAACAATACTTATGTCTAGAAAGTAATCAAATATTAAAGCTGTATTTCATTTCTTTATATTCAGATTATGCACCATTTCATACAATAATTAAAAACTTCCGAAAACAAATCTCCCAAATAATACATGATTAGAGATAGAATGTATGATTAAAAAAAAATATTATAAAAGTTCATGAAGAACTAGTCTAAAAAAGGTATGAGAATATACTGTACACAGTTTTTAAATTTATATGAAATGTAGTCAATGAAATTTTCGACTGAAGAACAAAAATTCCTTACTATGATAATTACAACTTAAACTCAAATCACCATTACTTTTTAACTCAAAGATAATTGCAAACCATTTTTATATTCTTGGAACTAGAATAAAACAATAAATCTATGCTATAAATAAATAACAGCTTAATACTTTTAACAATGCATGTAAACATAGACAATGCTTAATGTGATCACGTTTGTCCATAGCTATTTTGATAACATTAATTAATTCAGCAAAGTTTGTTTATGAACTGTTCATAATGTCATTAATACAAAGTTTCATTTATGAACTGTTCATAACGTTTCAGAAATTGCTGATGCTGTATTCCAGTCTTAATACTCAAAGCACTTCTCTCATTGGAAGAAAACATGGCAATGTAAAGTTTAAAATTAGACATTTCAACCTTTGGTTTTTTTTTTTTTTTTTTTTTTTTTTTTTTTTTTTCCGTCCTTTTTTCTGCTGCTGAAAAAGCTGGACTTGTGTCAGTTCATCCTAAAAATTGAGTTAATAAGTTATTTAAATCTATGTCAAACGAGGCAGCCTTTTTTGCCCAATTTCCCTGTAACTCAGCAATTTTTACAATCTATTTTGATTTCATTTTGTGAATTCAGTTTAAAAAAATCGGATGAGTAACCATGACTTCCTTGTAACCTCTATTAAATTACACACATATTTTGCTGCAACTCATTTAATTTCCCTTAATTATTCTAACTTTATTAACCGATTCCTCAAGGCACATAATTAAATACCCCAGTGAATATTTTTGTTATCAAACTTACTCTTTTTTTTTTAAATAATAATAAACTTTCCCAAATATAAGTATAGGATCTGTGAGCCTGCATTAAAAGTTAGATTTAATTATATGTTCAAAATTAATATTTTGTAAATTTTAAATTGCCAAAACATACACATTTTCATTATATAAAACACTTCTGTGTACATGTGTATGACCAAGGATTGTGAAAATAAAGGACATGTAAGGTCTTTTAAGCTGAGTAAGGGGTGTGTATAAATATATATAGTTTGAGCATGTGTGCATATATAAATATATATATGCATGTGATGATAACTTAGTTCATTGCATATAATTTGACATTAGATGAGTGCTTGACTAGGAAAGACAGCAATTATTCTGCAGTTGTGGGTGGATTAAAGTTAGAAGATCACTAAAACATTCCTTAGATAGTAGAAGATGATGAGAACTTTTGAAGAATCACAGCTTACTTGGTAATTCAAGCATACCTTTATTACTTGTTGATTAAACTATGGCATAGCACAGCATAATGAGGGCAATATGCACCCCACAATTTTAATTACAACATACATTTTTAATAATGAATAGAAACAGCCAAGCAAGAGACATTCTTTAGCTAGCAAGGATAGGCAGAAAAAGAGAGTGCATATTAGTTGCAATTAGTATTTATAATCTCAGACCACTTTGTTTTAATCCTGCACAGTGACTGAGCAAGAGTTCTTACTCTGCGGTTATTGCAGGGGAAACACAGATGGCTTGAAAGAGTTGTACTTTAATTGAAAATTATTAATTTAAAGTTTCAAAACAGAAGTTCTCACAAAGCAGGAGCAGAAAATAAAGAACCATATAATTTCAAGCATATTGTTGTACTTTAAAATAATGTATGTTAAAAATGTTTAGCTATTAACATTTTTGTACTTTTACATGACAAATTACAGAAAAAATAGTTTTTTCTTTATTTGAACGATTCAAGTTGTATTTATAATGAGAATTGGAGGAATTTCAGATTCTACTTACAGTTAGGACATCCATGACACTAAGTAAACTTGTGATGTTTTCTCCTGGTCCTGCTTCCTTCAGAATTAGTTCACTACCATCCTAAAATAACACAAAACAATGATCAAATTTTCAAAACTAATATGCTTACACACCGAAATCGCATGTTTGCACATTGAAATAAATTTTTTTATACTAGAATATAAAACTACTTTTTTTGGTATCACATAAATCAACTTTTAAAATTAAATACATAACAAAATTTAAGTATTATATATTATAATTTTAAAGCTGCTGCAGTAACTTTAACCTTGAATATCCTTTACTATTTTATAACAGTTATTTTAATTTGGATAACCTTTCCTATCAATTCTTGTTTGAATGCAAATGACTCAGAAGAAGTATCTAAGGAAGGTTCAACTTACTTCGCGAGAAAGAGAGCTAGGAATCTTGAATAGCACATGTTTGCCTTCGGGCTAAGTGCTTACCCTAAATTATTATGTTTGCCTTTGGGCTAAGTCTCTCTTGAAGCTGTTACCGCTCGACCATATATTATTACATGTCTTTTAATATTCGGTGGCTAGTTTAAATTAAAGGCCAGCTACGTTAGATACTTGTGTTAGCTCCGGCTAAGTCTCCTTTAGTTAGTTATAGTTCTGTTCTTATTTCTTATTAAGTTTAAGCCCAAGTGGAGGCCTTTGTTGTAAGCCCGAGAAAAGGGTCGACTGTTATTCTTAGTTGAGTGAAATAAAGGGTATTTTAACCCTTCTTGAGTCTACATCTTTAGTTGTTTGAACTCAGCAATAAGCCACTACACAGTACACTAGGTTCCTTAAACGTTTATCTTAGGCATAAAGAGTGAGGAACCCTACAACTTATTAGCAGAGTTTAAATGATTCATACATTAAGTCAAATTTTAAAATCAATATTTTTCAATTTTAAAATTTTTACTGTAATTTTACATTTGAAATACATATTTTCATATAAACATCTTCAAATGAATCACATAAATATTAATACTGATAACAAGTGATTTACTTACTAATATCAGTTTAACATTAATAATTTAAGGTAATTACATATTATCCATCAACAGTGAAACTGTCACCAAGCAGTGTAATTTAGTGCCAATTATGGATAAGTGTGACATAAAAACAATCATAATACATATGCTTTCCTTTGATGTAACACCTACTGATTCTTGAAAAGCCATCTTTTGCTTTTGCGAACAAAAATATATATTAACTGTTATTGTAACATTTTCAAAAAATTATAAAAATTTAAGAATCTTCTATAGAACAAAGCAGTGGTTTAAGTTATTGGATTCCACCATTTAAAAATAAAAAGTACTAATGGACACCACATGGTATTGCATTTGAAACTGTATACACAATGACGATGCAATATTTGTGACTGCATTCCAGTTAATTTACAGCTGATTGTGAGGATTAACATTTCTTAAGCAGGGAAAATAAACAGCTGAATATGGCTACTGACAAGAAAGTACTATTGCTTGTGGGAAGTTTTTACTCACTATACCCTAAGCAGATCTTCTGATAAAATCAAAGGGTCTAACAAAATAGTAGAAATAATCAAAGCCTTTTTACAAAACACAAACATGAAGTAGGTCAAATATTGATAGTTTACTAAATAAATAGACTAAGAATCCTTTCAGATTCAGCTGAAACAACTGGTGCAACTTTAGTGGGATTTTCACCAACCTTCATGGTTCGACAGTAACTAACTTTTATGATCCAGAGGATAATACATAAGTGCCTAATTCACTTATAATAACATCATCATTCATTTATAACAACATCATAATATATGTGTACTAATTTATATTTAATGATTAATTTAAGGTATATATTTGAAAATCAGTAATAGGTTAAAAACATTTAAAACTAAACATTATAAGCTATACTTTCTTAACAATTATGAATAATTTCATATGTTAAAAGTTAACAAAATAATAATAATGTCAATACCATCTCACTGATATGAAAAATTATATAATAAGAAAGAAAATAAATAAATCAATAAAAAGAAAAATATTTACCATTTCAGTAACATACACCACTAACTTCCCATTCTGTACAACATAAATGCTATTATCAGGTTCTCCAATAGAAAACAGCATGCTCCCAGCAGAAACATGCAGAGCTTCTATGTGCTTACATAGTTCAAGGAATAATGGCTTTTCAAATGATCCAAAAACTCTGTAGATCAAAGCAGATCATTCTATTTTCCACAAACACTGAATTTATAAACAACGTAGAGAGCAAAAATACATGTTTATACTTTGCACACTGTGCAGCAGCAAACTATACTTTTTCTGTTCTGATGTCGTCCCCCTCACATATACAGTCAAAAGTCGTTAATCCGGACTCGTCGGGACTTCGGTGATCCGGGGAATATTGATTTTTCCGGATTATATATCATCAGTTTAAATCTGGTAAGATGGCATGCAGAAATTACAAAATTAAAAATATGAAACCGTAATTTATGAAATAAAGAACAATTACGATCTAAAGGGTATCAAAATTTACAAAAAGAAAAAGCTTAATATTTATTTGTTTACTTTATTAAACATTTCTTTTAATGTAAGTTGTTTAAGTTGCTTTGTTTCATGTGATAATACTTTCTCTTTAATTCTATTAAACAGACATAATTTCTTGTTTAGTTACAAAGTTCCACTGTTCAAGTCCTATAGTTGCTGTGTCGAGAATACCGACTAATTTGTCAATCGAAATGTTTTCGTTTTCAATAACCTCTGGGTCACTTTCTTCACTATTGGAAGCGAATTATAATGACGAGGAACTTGATTTAAATCATATCAAAGACGGAGTACATCGAGATGAAATACTACACTTAGTAAGGAATTATAAGCCAAATAAAATAAAAACATCTGCCCTGAAGATAAGGATAGTGCTGACAGATCAACTTCCAATCCGCCGCGTGAAATTGATAAACAGATTTCGGATTTCAAAACATACTTTCGCTTTGTAGATACAAATTACATATTAGTAAATATATATTGGAAATTCTATTTGACATAATCGAAAGTTCAAGCTTACTTTTATGAAATTGCTCTAACAGTCTGCAAAAAATAATACGCTGGATCCAATTCGAAGATTAAGGAACAACGCAATCTGCAACATTAACTGAATTAGATAATGTTAGCTTAGTTTGTACTGTCTGTTACACATTAAACGTGCATGCGCACAAACATATTCGCAGCAGTAAAGGTCTTACGTGCACTCGTAAATGCCTGTGCGCATGCGTGAATGCGATGCATGCGCAGAAAGTTTGTAGCTTTGAGGTCCAGATTATAGATCATTCCGGATTATGGGTGTCCGAATTAACGACTTTTGACTGTATATGTATATATTAGGTACTCCAATAATCACATTGACTAAATAAAATCTATTTACAGACACCACAAACCATGACTACTAAACCTGAAAATATGTTTAGTGCCACTACATACATTATATATTACTACTAGGAAGTCATCCAACTTTCTAGATTTGAATATAAAAGACTTAATTAAATATTTTAATAACTTCAGTTTGTGAATAATAATTTGGCGCTTCAATTATGATAAGAGAATGGAAGTCAAAATGAGCAAATGCAAAATGAACATAAGTGATTGCAGAATTATTCATAATTAGAAGTTAGTCATTTTTTAAACTTATCAATTATTCATTTGCAGATACTAAGTATTTCATTTTAACAATGATGTTATTAATTTATTTTTAACCAAGATTATTAATTCCATAGAGCAAATAATAAATAAATGAATGTTCAAAAAAATTCCATTCATTTATTATTTTAACTCAAAAGAAGTGATAACTGAACCAGGAAACCTTTATAAAATTTTAAATATTTCTTGGCTTTGAAACATCAGTTTAAGAATAATTTAAGTAATAATGCAATTTATTTGCCATACCCCCAAAACAAAGAAACAGACATATCATAAAAACTACTCTTCTTATTTCAAAGCTAATAATCTCAATAAAAGTATAACCATGAATCATTACTTTATTAGTCAAAATCTTACATTTATTTTCAAAATTAACTAAGAATTGGAAGCTGAATTTCAAAATTAATTTAAATTACACTAAACTTATTTTGAAACTATTATCTTAAAGTAGAGATCAGGTAAAGATATAAAAAACAGCTAGACTAAACATACAAACCTAATACTTTTTAGCATGTACATCACATCTGGAGGAAGTCTCTGCTCTGATTGCTCAGATATAGCTTCCTCTAAAAATGCCTGGGATGGTTCCATCACCTTCAGAGTTAATGGTTGCTCTCGCCTTAGCCGTAAAATTCTATCAAAAAAATTAATATTTTAAAATGAAACAGCATAAATGCTAAAATGTGTAAAGAGATACTGTAATATTGCATTTTACTTTCAATCCTAACTTATAATTAATATATTAAAAAGAAAAACTTTTGTTTTAATCACTGCTTCAAAAACATGTGAAAATGAATTCCTAAAAAAAAAAGAAGCCTCAAAAAATAAACTCACTGTTTTCTTCCTTTTTTTTACTACTTTTCAGAATGAGAACAGCTTTCCCATATCCACACAGAAATGAGATTTAATCTTGATAATTTCTGTATGCCTTTTACTTTGACTCATTTTAAAAACTAATAAACTAATAACAGTAGGTATTCACAACAGTGAATTACTGTAATAGTGATAAAAATCTTGTATGTATTTGTATTTGTGAAATGAACTGAAAATTTCTTTTTTAATAAATGCCAAACAAAACTGAACTAGCTTTTGTATTAGTTACATTACTGAAATATTATAAACAGCAATGTAACTAATACAAAAGCTGAAGTGTGAGTATATATATGTGTGTGTGTGAGAGAGAGAGACAGCAAACTTCCAATTTTAATTGGAATTCTTCATTTCTTCTTCTTATTCTTCATTTTAATTTGGGTAGTTCACTTTTCTTCCCTAAAAACTGTAACTATTTATCAATTTAAATTGCATCATTTCAAAATTAATCCACCTTATGTGATCTTACATAACACTGCAATGCCTTCGAGTCAATCCTTGAATAAGATTTCAGTTTAAACCAACACTTGTTTACTCTCCCCTATTCTTTCTTATAATGCAGCAATGCAGATACCTTTTAGCCAATCCCTGAAAAAGATTTCAATTAAAAAAAATAATAATAAACTTTTTGACTCTCTCTCATGCTTTCTTTTAAATGCATCACTTTTCTCTTTCTGCTTCCCTCTGGCAACTTGTCTTCAAAAATATATTTCACAAGTTTATCGGAACTGATGTAAAAAATCCTTTAAGAACAAGGAGATATAAAACAGATTTTGTGTTGGATTAATGAAAAATGTAAGTAAATGAGTAAAAAGGAAATAACTGAATATGGTTATATCTGTAGGTTTCTTCTTTGTTATACATCTACTATGCCACCAAACTTTTCCGGGTTTTCAGTTCTTCACTATGGGTCATCATTTTAACTTTTCCATTGTACTCAATCTGTTAATTTTCTGATTCATCTTCATTTTTATCTGCATTGTATTTCACCAGTGCAACTATTTCTGCATGTCCTAAAATTTCACAATTTTCATCTTGTCTCATACATTCTTCAATATCACCATCAGTAACTTCTTTGCAGCTGGGAATTTTCTTAAGTACGTCAACTATTTCTCAATTTTCTGTCTCCTCTCTGCTTTCATGAAATTTTTTTCCTGAATGGTCCAGCAATTTTCTCCACGAATGGAAGAGGCTTATCTGCTCGATTTCCCTCCAAGAATGAGCTTATATCCCACTATCTATTTTCTTCAAATTCTCAATCATATCATACCCTTTTCCCATGGCTAGGACAAGAGGAAAGCAGTTTACATCTATAGTTTTTCTTCAATGCTCCAAAATGCCCTGATCCATCAGCTGACACACTGAAGTTACCTTAGAAGGGAGAAATATGGCTTTTATATCTTCGTCTCATAACTGTTCTACATCAGAATGAGATAGTGCATTGTCTAGAATGAAAATTGTCTTCTTTGGTACACTTTTTGATTTTAAAAACTTTTCCACTGCTGGAACAAACTGCTGATGAAACCAATCATTAAATATTGCTCCATTCATCCAAGTACTGATTCTGCTACCAAACAGGTAGATTACAGTTGGTTTCAGTCCCATTAGTGTACTTTTGTACACTTTTAAATGCCCAGGGATTTTTTGATTTGCTTATAAGCACTAGTTTAAGCTTATGGCTGATTGTTGCATTGCTGCATGTCAAGACTTTAACTCTCTCCTTGCTTCTTTTGCAGCCAGGAGCCTATTTTTCTTCCCTGTATGCCAGTGTTTTCGAAGGCAGCATTTGAAAATTCAGACCAGTCTCACACAATTATAAATTTGATCTCCAGATATGCTTCCGTTTTTATTTAGTTTATGGAAGTTATCTTTGAATATTGTAGCATTTTCTAAGTTAGAAGGTAGCTTTTCCCCACAAATGTTTAACTACCTGATGTTGTACCACTTTTTTTATCTGTTGAGCCAGCCAGCACTAGCAATAAATAAAGGCTCTCCTTCTGGAAATTCATCATAAAAGTTCAAGGCTTTCTCTTGTAAAATTGGTCCTGAAATGGGTGTTCCCTGTTCCCTTTGTTGCCTGAATCACAAATAAAGCACATAACTCACATTTTCGTATTAACCATCTTTCACACTTTTTCTTTCCTTTAAAATATCTATACATGCTCTTTTCGCACACAAAGACTCGATTTCGGACCTCTTCTTTTTCCACCCTATCAAAGTAGACTGTCCAACATGTAAATCCATGTTATTTTTTATAACACTTTCCTCTTTGTCCAGTCTCTTTAAGACATCTAGTTTCATTTCCATTGTCATGTTAGTTGGTTTTCTTTTGTTTTCAAATGATTTTTTTATTTCACTTCATAGAATATCAAAAGTTCCCAAAAATATGTTACACCTGACCGTGAATTGAGGAATGATACCCGCAATGAACTGGTGTGAATTTAGTTTGCAATAAGATGCAGTCACAAACTTCAGACAAATCACCTAACATTTTGCAACAATAGAAAGAAATGCGAGCCAGCTGTTACCTGACTTTCTTCATATCCTCGAAAGAAGCAAACAGCATTGCCAAGTATTATAACATATCTTGAAATTTGTTAGGCAGTTCCAAGAATTAATGGCACAATGCAAAAACGGTAAAAATTACAGAAAAAAACACTCAAATCTTCGAACAGAACATCTTCAAACAGACATACAAATAAATAATAATTACATAGGGTGTGATTCAAAAGTTTCAAGACTTAGCTCAGAACTAGAAATTTATTGGACATTTAAGTACAGCGGACTAAAATTCTTCAAAATATGATCCTTCAGCATCAACACAGCACTGCCAGCGTGTCTTCCACTGTTCGTAGCCTTTCTGGAAGGCCTCGGGCATCATGGTGTCAAGGGCTTTCGTCGAAGCCTGCTGGATGGCGTTGATGGAATCAAATCGCTTCCCTTTTAGGTCTGTCTTGATTCGGGGAAAGAGGAAAAAGTCACTTGGAGCCAAGTCGAGTCTGTCCATGAGCAACAAACTCCTTGTGAATCACTCCTTTACCATAAAGAAAAGAACAATCAGCACGCACTTCACGCGCGACTTGCTCATGTAAGCTTTCTTGGGCTTCGGGGAGGAAGCAGTGTGCCATTCTGAGGTTTGACGCTTCAACTCAGGATCGTACTCGTAGACCCAGGTCTCAGCACCAGTAACCACTTTCTCCAGAAGATTCAGATCAACATTCAATCACTGGAGCATTTCCTGGCAAACAGTCATGTGCCATTTCTTCTCATCCACTGATAAAACTTTTGGCACACACTTTTCGCATCATCAAATCCTCCACTCCATACTCTGACTGAGCCCCAATTCATCGGCAAGTAATCTAGTACTAAGACGATGGTCATTGTTTAAAAGTTCCTGCACTCTCTCCACATTTTGATTCGTTCGGCTTGATGATGCCCTCCCAGAGTGGTCGTCGTCTTCACCATTCCTGCAGCCATCTTTGAAACGTTTTGTGCCACATGAAAACCATTGCAGGGTACATGGCTTCTTCCTTAAAGGCCTCTTGAATCATACTGAGAGTCTCTGTGGCGGTTTTGTTCAGTCGTACGCAAAACTTAATCGCATAACGTTGCCTTAAGTACTGCTCCATTTTCGCCTCTCCCACTTTTCGACCGAGGTCAATGACACGCACTCATGCTGCGCGTGATGCACACTCTTCAGGGTTCCGGAGGCAACTGCCGCAGTGTCAGTCCCTGAGACCCCCACTACTTCCCCCACCTGGTGGAACCGGTCCATACTCGCTCCCCTACTCAGAAATAAACCAGTCTTGAAACTTCTGATTCACACTCTGTATGTACTGTATGAACTATTTGCTCTGCTTGACCTAGAGATAGCTTTAAAAAGTTCATGAACTGTTGTCAAGTTATACAGAATGTTGAGATATCGGAGTCAAGTTTGTGGGACCCTACTGTATTTAACAGACGTTTTTAAAAAGCAAAATCATCAGTGATTTTTTCAAAATTCACTTTACTATATTTTTTATGTTCTACAGATAAAAAAGGCACGTTTAAAGTATTTCTGTACCAAATGAAGATCTTAGTCAGCTTTGCTGAAGCATCTTCCTCTACTAGCAAGAGTAACATTAAGGTTAAAAATACCCTTAATGTTACTTCAATTAATTTGAACTAAATTACATATGTGAATTATTTCTAAAAACATCAAAATGTGTACTAACCAATAAATGTTACTTACACTAAAAAACACCAATAAATGTTATTTTTAAATTAATTTGAACTAAATTACATATGTGAATTATTTCTAAAAACACCTAATCTTGTAACTGCTTTTCCATCCAGAATCATTGAAATAGTACAGTTTCGAAAACGACATACTTCTGATTGAATTTCTGCAGCATTTGTATTATTTAGATGTTTAAGTACTAAGTTCTAAGCTGTAGGCTTTACCTAAATTCAATGACATTAATTTTTTTTCCATTTAGAAACTGAAATTTGGGAGACACTTTGCTTAATCTTTCAAGTTTCAATTCCACTGTAAAGATCTAATGCTGCTTTAATATCTGCTGCCAAAAAATAATTTTCTGAAAAATTACTTTTCTCAAGTGATTCTTGACAATTTGCTCTATTAAATTTTCTTTTTTGCTTCTGTTCAAATTACATTTATATATTTATCCCCAAAGCTAAATTTTTACATTTCTTAAGAATACTTTCAGAAATAATTTTTGCTGTAATAAAAAATATACTTCCTCTAATAGTTTTACAGTTCAC